TTGTCGTAAACTGTACCATATTTTCACATAGTAGAGAGGAGCTCACTGCTACGTTTTAATAATTACATTACCTCTGCATATCAGTTGGAAGCCCCAAGAAATTTCTGACTGATTGATAGTTCGATAACTTCAAACCCCAAATAAAGCCGTCACAGCCATGCTTATCCGAAGCACTTTTGATAGGAAGAATGAAAGCGAAAGTAATCAGACTTGTGTTTTCTGGTGGATTTCAGAAAAATTTGTTTCATCAAAAGCTCTTTAGTTACGGTTCTCCAATATATTTGGAGGGGGAACACTAACATCAGAGAGACGGGGAGAGGAGTTTGATGCATGCTCTCACTCTCTCATTATCGTTGTCTACATGAACTTGTCCCCTGCCTTAAATCCGTTATTAGAAATTTCTATAAATGTCCTTAATCACAGTCTAGACAAGTCTTTGGCGATCATGACTAGGGGAGGCTACAGCTGAGAATTACGCTGCTCTTTGATGGACTCTCCTTTTAAACATGTTGTGCACCTTAAACCTGCTTTACTTAAGGGAGTAAGGGAGGTTTCTCATTTGCATAAGTGATAGTATGATTCCAGCGCTCAGAGGAAATTGGGAGAGTTGTAATGTGACAGTAAAAGTAAACTGAATGATGTGACGAGAGCAATGTGATGATGTTAAACTGATAAGAATTACAAATATCCCTCAAAGAGGGAAAGGAGAATAAGTCATTCTGAGACTATTCCAAGCTAGAGCATAAGCTTCTGCTGCAAAAGTGTCTCTCATTTTTCCCTAAAATACTTTTTATATATATATATATATGAAAACATTTTAACACTTATGATCTTGACAAATGGTAATGACATACTATAGACCCTTTTACAGTTGGTAAACATGGTGACGTTTTTTTGTGAGCGGAGCTTAGGTGGAGGCAGAAAGATCCATCTGGCCGCTTCACTAACGCTAGTTAGCAAGGATTGTTAGCTTGTTTTTTAACAATGACTGGAGAAAATCCGATATTATCTTAATGTGTAAGGTCACTCAGTGTCCAGGACCGCGATTGTTATTTCCAAAAGTTATTTTTAACGGACGGAACCAGATTGGCAGACCTGTAGCCGCCTACATGCTCACTCAATGCATGGATGATCTGACAGGATTAACGTACGTTACCTCGGGTGAGTGGCCTGACTTCTAACTGACACATACCTTATAGAGAAACCGATCGTAAAGAGAAACTGAGGGCATATAAATCTTTAGATGCCTATGGTCCTGTACAAGACTTGTGTGTACAATCCGCAGTTCTGCCGAGTCACAATGTAAAGAGTGACATTACAGTGCGATTTTAATGATGTGAATATTTTCTAGAAATAAAAGTTCCAGATGATACAGTATATTCATTTTTCATCAATTCTTGCACCAAACAACACAACAAGATGACATTTAATAATAGTAACAATTATTTAAGCTCCTTATTATGTAGCCGAATCTGTGCTGTTTTGCATTGACCGCCTCCAGTTTTCACTTTGTTTTGCCTCCAGCTAGCGTCGTGACGTAACTGTGACGTTGGCGCAAAAGGGGCCTATATAGTGTCAAATTAGCCAGTGAGCCATTATAGCCACTATTTCTCCCTATTCACTATTTACAACCTCTTTTTCACAATTGAAGCAAATGGAAAAGTTCATTTTATTTAATTGTTAGATTTTTTTAAAATTGTACTTAAAATGTACTTTAAATTTATTCGGACATTATAATGAACTTTTCGTGCACTGACACGTCACTTTCCATCAACGTTTTTGAGAAAACCTCCATTGTCCATTTCACAAGCAGTTTAACATTGTACTTTAACTTAAGTGTAATTTCTTGGTATTTTTTACACCCGTTATTGACGTTGGATTGACTCACTACTTTTTGGCTCAGTTTAAACTGGCTAAACACACTGTAAAAATGAATATGCTTTATCTAATCAATAAAATTGTGGCAACAGATTACAAGCAATATTATTAATTAAATTGAACAAATTAGAATTGAGTAATACTTAATCAAAACATTCCTTAAAAGTTAACCATTTAAAATGAGTAAAGTTTACACCAAAAAATTAAACAAAAATATCTGAATAACAGACAGACGTCAAAGATTAATTATTTTATATTATCTTTATTTTATATTGCCAACATTGAAAACACTTGATGTTAACCAGCAGAATCACTGAAGGAGAAAAACGTCATTTTTAAACAAACCTAAAACAAACACTGAGCACCATAATGGTGACTTAAACATACTTTCTTAAAAAAGTTGTACTCATTTTAAATGGTTAACTTTTAATGAATTAATTAGATTAATTATTACTTAAATCTATTGTTAAATTTAATTAATAATATTGCTTGTAATCTGTTGCCACAATTGTTTTGATTAGATAAAGCGCATTCATTTTTACAGTGCACAACAAAAAGTCTCGTGGCATTTTCTGGCAACAAATTCCCAAAACCCCAATTTCAAATTTAGAAAATTGTGAAAAGGCTTTCATAGCTGTAAGCCATAATCATCAAAATTATAACAAATAAAGGCTTGACAATTTTGGATAATTTTGCATTCAAAAAACAACACCTCTTTCCCACTTTTATATGAACAAATATATCAGAGTATCTTGCAATTAATGATTTAACAGGATAATGGTATGCAAAAATTTTCTTATATTAAATTAAATTTCAATTTTAAATTTTCTTTTTTCGTATTTCTTTGGTTTTATTATTAATGCAATATTTAAAGGAGATTAACCAAGCAGTCAGCAGATAATATTAATATATTATCAATAATAGGGTTCCAAAATCCTCTAGGTGCTATTTTATTTTGTATTTGAAATATTGTACAAATATTTTATAATAATGCATTTTTTCATCAATCAATTCAATGCCATTTAAAATTAATTTTGGATTTAGCATTAATGTGGAGTTAATTTGAATATGACTTTTGATAAGATGAATCAGAGTAGGGTAAATAGCTTTAATGACAGAATTAAATTCTTTAAATGCACTGGAAAACTATAGATTCACATAAATTTTTTGTATGTTAAAATATTTCAGTCATTATCAAACATATTCATAAGATGATTAATATCCCTGTTAAACCAATTCCTTAAAGATAACAAGGATGTATTGGTTGAGTGGTAGGCCTAACCAACAGTTTAATAACACGTTTGTCTTTTTTAATCTAGAGGGGAAGTTTAAACTTTGACATCCATTCTCTTGTTTTCCTCATAGTAATGACTGTGACGCGCAAACGGAAGCGTGTGTACATCGCGTGCACTGAAATGTATGGCGTGCGCAGGTGATAGTATTTTTTTTTTTTTTTTTTTTGCAAAGGTCCCTTTAGGGGGCTCCATAAAATACACCCCCAAAAAGTCAGCACACATATATCATCCATTAATCATGATAATGTGTGAGAAGCTCAAATGAGGGCAATGAAAAAAACTCCTGAAATCATGGGCCTGAAATCCATTGAGGAAATGACTAAAGAAAAGCTGCTGGAAATGAGTTTGAAAGCAAGAATGTAGTAGAGTGATGGTGCCGTATAAATAAGTGATTTCATGTGCTGTTATACCAAATGGAAAAGCGTGGAAAATTGATAGAGTGAGAGAATGCTCAGGACACAGAAAGTAAAAGCATTGTAAATCACCTGGACATAATAGAGTAAGTGTCTTATAAGTAACTCCTGTTTCCTAATTACACTGGAGCTACATTTTGGAAACTAGAGGTGCCCTGAACAGGAGTTGTTCAAAAGTATTGAAACTCAGACCATGAACATATTTCCATGCAGTCCCCTTGACATTCACTGTCTGCCAATATTATGAGTCACTATTTGACCTGAATATTACCTTAACCTTAAGTAAAAAACATAAGTGAAAAGTTCTTGAACCTTCCGAAACTATCTGGATATCAACTGATGCATACATTAAGCTAAACAGTCACAGAATATGTACAGGGAGGAAAATAAGTATTTTTGAACACCCTGCTATATTTGCAAGTTCTCCCACTTAAAAATCATGGAAGACGGTCTGAAATTGTCATTGTAGGTGCAAGTCCACTGTGAGAGACTTAATCAAAAAAAAAAAAAAAATCATAATGTTTGATTTTTTTTTTTTTTTTTTACTATTTTTTATGATACTGTCTATCAGCAAGAAACTGACCCTCAAACAAAGGCTACTGTAACAAATATTAATATTGATTTTCTAAGGTGTTCATATACTTACTTGCAGCTGTATCATACAAATAAATAGTTAAAAAAAATCATACATTGTGAATTCTGGATTTATTTGGTTTTTTTAGATCATTTTTAGATCATTTTAGACAATTTCAGACCCCTCCATGATTTCTAAGTGGGAGAACTTGCAAAATAGCAGGGTGTTTGAATACTTTTTTTCCTCACTGTGAACCTGACAAGCAGTGGTTGATAGATCAGTCCTGTCGTGTATAAACTCTGTTCCTCATATCATAATTCTAAAGGATCACCGAAGATTCGCTGAAACCTCTACTCTTCAGATTCAGTTGGCATTCTGCAATTATCTGTGGAAGAGCAAGACAAAGAATCCATGAACCAGAACCCCAGAGGGGCGATATAGATCAGCAGACATTTCTTTCTTGTAACATCTTTTGTTCATTAATCTCCATAGATCTGCAGTGTATTTGTGAATCTGCTCAAATAAACAAGTGCACAGCAATATCCAATATGCTTTACTGCCTCGAGACCTGGACAGCTTACAATTGTGAAGGGATCAATGAATTCCAAGCCATATCAGAAAATTCTAAAGCAAAATATTTGGCCAACTGTGTGTGAACCAAAATTCCCAAGTAGTGATGCCATGCAACCTGATCATGATTTAAAAAAGCAAACAAACAAAAAAAAACATCCACATAATAGTAAATTGAATTGAATTGAATTAAATGGAAATACAGAATATCAACATCAGACTCGTATAAGAAATAATGTGCCATGAATTCATACACAACTGGGTCTGTGATTGGGACTGGGTCAAACTACCTTTATTTTGCTATATTGACTGGCTATTGTCCATAATCCTGCTTATTACACAACTATTCAACAAATAAATATGTTAACATGAAATATTCAGCATTGACTGATTGAGTTCAGATCATGCACTGCAGTACAGCAATGGTTAATTCTCAAGACTTTCTCCAAGACATCACCTTCATCAGACTGCATGTTCTAGTATTCACAGATTTTTACAAGCCATCTCACTCGTTTTGGCTCTCGTTAAAAACACTTTGTACAGGGCTACATGATATTTAACCCCAATATTTGTTCAAAGACTTGTATAATGTACTACAAATAACATTCCACATATTTTCCCCAGCTGCTGTATTTTGTTAGCGATTGCAAAGGCTGTTGAACGGCAGTGGGAATGGCTGGTTTTTTTTCTGACGCATGTCACTGGAAATTAAATTTCTAAGATTCATAATATAATTTTTTTTTATAATATTCCCTTGGGTTTCCAGCTCAGAACATCATGATATTTTTTTTTCCACACAGAGAGGTCCAGCTGTAAACAATCAAAAGATTTTCATGTCATCTTGTCGGATTATTTGGAAAAGAACACATGCGGTTTTGTGGCTAAGAATCAATTTGAACTGACTTTATTGGTTATGCACAAAGCTGTTTCCAAAAAGATACATTTATCTATGATTTGTTGCCCTCTAGTGCCCAGACTCACACTTGATGCATCAATCCTTTAGTCAGTATGTTGGCCTGTAAATAACGATGTCTGCAGGAAAACATGTTTCTTTTTTTTCTTGGTTCAAAATACAGAACATTCGGCAATAGCCCCAAAAAGATATAATTCTTCGACTGGAAAGTTGATGTTTTCTTGCCACTATTGTTCACTTGGACAGTGTTTGCTTTAATGGAACTGCAAGTGTACTGTCTGCCAAACTCTCCGGCTCCTGAAAGCCTTAACACAACACATCTTGAATACATCCCATAGCTAACACTTGTCTTGTTTGTCATGTCAGATGTGAAAAACAAAAATGTGCAAATGTATATTTCTCAGTCTTTAAGTAGTCAGTGATCTACACTAAACAAGACATTTTAAAGAGGACAACCATTTTATTCATTATGTCATTGGATTACCTTTGAGCCATTAATGATTTGTGAGACAGTACAGTTTTTTTTAACTCTTACAGCAGTGTTTCTCACTCATGGGGACTGGGTGACTCAGAGAGAGTTATTTCAATTAAATTTTTTAATAATTAGCAGTATATAGTAATGTCAAGCTCTGATATATTTTATCAGGTAGAACTTACAAGTAAAAACTAATTTAAAAAAAGTTGTGGACAGCCTTGGAGTCAAAAAGGCTTGGCATGACAACTTGCATGTTTGATGTAAAATGTGCATGTTTAACTCATAAGATGACAGTATGACAGATCAATAATACAATTAACCACTGCATATCAAGAACTTAAATTAACATAAAGGTCTGAACTAAATGATGCAACAGTAAACCAACATTAAGCTTAAATAATACTAGTCTAATGAAAAAATATCATACCAGAGCATGAAGTCCATTTAAACACCCAACACTGTAAGCTGCTAGAAAAGTAAAATGCAGTAGTTTATACAAGTATGAAATGGACAGTTGGAGGTTTGTTCATATTATTCAGGCTCATTAAAGTAAACCCAAAATGAATACACTGTGTTTTAGAATAACGTGTTAAGAACTGATCAAATTTGGAATGCAATTGAGCAGCAGAAACAGAAACCCCAATTCAAGAACCTCATAAATACTGCGTTAGCATAGCATTTAAACAATATGATACATCTGAAAGCTCTACCGTTCCCAAGGAAAGACCACTATGCCCAAGAAACACCAAATGTACAATGCTGCATTTTAAATGAATCTTTGGACTGAAGTTCATGTGACGGATGTCCTTACGAAGCTGATGCATCTGAAAGTAAATTGGAAAGGGAAAAGTTGAGATGAAATATAAACAGATTTACCAAATAGGAATTGGAAGGAAACTTAGGCTTGTTACTCCTCCTGGGCATGGATTATAGACTGATTGACAAAAGAAGAACTGCTCTGTACCAAACAGATGTGGAGTGATGCTGCCAGAGCTTAGATATCGGTTGTGAGGGGACCACCACTCTCGATGTTTCTCATGATAGACTGAACCACTTCTGAAGTTGTGCCCTGCCCCCCAATGTCAACTGTGTGTAACTGCAACAGGAAACATCACAGAACACATTACAAACATGTCCTGGAGTTGGAGTACCACCAGCTCTGCACATTTTGTATGTCTCCATCTATCACACTTGACTTGATTCAACTCATGAGTTCATTAGTAGAGTCTACAAGACCTGAAATAGTTGTTTCAGAGATAGGGAGACACAAAGTATGCAGGGCTGGTGGTACTCCAGAACAGGTTTGAAAACCACAGCATTACAACATGACTGTGCAACATCAATTGTGCAACAAGCATGTGACCTCACCCTATGAAAAATCTACAAATTGTACCAAAAAAAGGAACGGTAGTGTAACTATATCAATATCTATACAGTCAAATAATATTACTGATTACTACAAAGAAATCTTTCATGCACAAATCCAGTGAATAGTAGAATTGCTTGGTCTAAATGGTAACTTCATGAACAGGTTTTCACACCTGACCGTATCCAAGTTGTGAGCTAGAACCTGCCATACAAGATGTGCTAGACCAACTGTAAAATGTTTAGAGGTTGAATTAATATTTTAAAAAGAATCTATATAACTGACCCTGGTCTTGTTCATAGTGGTGAGAATTGCACCTCGGATCATGGTGGCATAGTCATAAAGCCTGAAAAAGAAGTCATATCGTAAACATTCTGTCTGTTCATCAAGTTAAAGATACAAGAGCTAACAAAGAACCAGAAAGGCAAAAACGGGCAAAATTACCATCATAAGAGTGGACACTTATAAAATAACACATGAGCTCATCACTTACTTGAGATGATCTAACATGAGGCAGCTGGCAAGCAGCATGGCAGTGGGGTTGGCGATGTTCCTGTTGGCAATGCTCTTTCCTGTATTCCTGGTGGCCTGTTATGACATATTTAAACCCAGCCATTTAAAAGTTACTCGATATTTGCATTTTATTTTCAGTGGCATAGCTCAATTTCAATAGAGAAATAATAAATAAACATAACTATTTTAAAGGTAAAATATGTAGGAATTTAGTAATAAAATATCCAAAAATCACTTGCACAGTGTGATATATTTCCTGCAGTTGTGTACTTACAATATCCCAAAAGTCTCAAGTTTTTTTATTTTGGAGAAATTCCAATTTTAAATAAGTGGCCGTCCCGGAAAAAGAAAAATGTCGCCTCGCCTACCGATTTGGCGCTCAAGAAACATTTCTTTTTATTATCAGTATTAAAAACATTGTTATTTTTTTTATTTTTGTGGAAACTGTGATACATTTTGTTTAGGATTTTCCAGTGATTAAGAAGTTATAGCATTTATTTTACTGACCCTAAACATGAACGGCAGTGTTTTGCTAGCCATTTTATGTTGGCAGGTCTTAAAGCCGTTTACATAGCTGACTATAATTATGATTCACACCAAGGCCAAAGAAAATAAAACTCTAAAAATATAAGGATTATTGTTAAGGGGTGACCTTAAAAATTCCTGCAAGTTAGGATTGTGCTAATTGCTCAGTTTTTTTCCTTCAAACCAACCGTTTCAAACACAGCATAGTCTCGTCCGTAGTTGGCACCAGGCACCAGACCGGGTCCACCCACCAGCCCCGCACACACATTGCTGACTACATTGCCATAGAGATTAGGCATCACCATAACATCAAACTGTTGGGGCTTAGAAACAAGCTGAAAGAAACCACAGTAAATATAGTAACAGGTTTATTTTTCTTTCTCATAACACATCAAAATTGTCAGCATGATTTGTTTGATTATTTGTTCACCTGCATGGTGGTGTTGTCTACAATCATGCTATCAAACTCAATGTCTGGGTAACCAGAGGCCACCTCCTTACAGCACTGCAAGAACAGCCCATCCCCCAGTTTCCTGTAAAGAGAAAAGTGTGTTTTAACACATTATTGACACATTGATTTTTTGTGCCACAAACTGTGAATTAATTGTACAGACAAGTTGTAGACTAACTAACATGATGTTAGCCTTGTGGACAGCCGTGACCCTGCGGCGACCTTTCTCTCGGGCCAGTTTGAAGGCATAGTCAGCGATGCGGAGGGAGTTGGTCCTCGTGATGATTTTCAGACACTCTACAACTCCTGAAACACTCTAAAACACAAAGAAAATTATTTATTTTTTCTAGGGTATATATACATTAAGTTATAACATTAATTTTGGCAACAAAAAAAATGTTATTGTACAATTATTCCATGATAAACAAATATTCAAAATTATGAATGCTTACTATGTACAATACCATTTAAAAGTTTGGGGTCAGTGTCTTTTTTTCCCCCTTTGAAATACATTAATACTTTTATTCAGCAAGGAAGCATTATATTGATCAAAAGTGACAGTAAAAAATATTTTTTTATTATTTTTATTATTATTATTTACAATATTACCATTTTTCCTGTATTTATGATTTAAAAAAGAGACTTTGCTCAAGAATAAAAAAAAAATCTTACTTAACCCAAACCTTTGAACAATAGTGTATTTTTCTACATGACCAATAGAATAACACATTTGAATGTATTTATTGATAAATTCATGTCAATACCCTGTATGTAAGGAAAGATGTGCTAGAAACAGGTGGAGCTGTGTGAAAGTCTAATGAGTGGGTGATGTTAACTCCTGACCTCATGCTCCAGACTGCTGTACTCGCCCTCTGTGTTCTCTCTAATGATGATGATGTCGATGTTTTTGTGGCGCGTCTGGACTCCAGGAAGTGACTGGCAGTGCATCACATTGGCATACAGATCTAGACTTGTGCTGACAGAGAGAGAGAGAGAGAGAGCTGTGGTTGGAGATGAACCAGTCTAGACACACAGTAATAGACTGGAGGCCAAATCTGAGGCATTCTCACTTAAACTGAGGGGCCCAACAACTTTCTGTACAGCATCGTATACATCTGATGGATAAATAGATTATTTGTGTAATTATTAGTCTTTCAGCCTTACCGTAGAAGATTGTTCCTTGACTTGTGGTTAGGGGGCATTATGTGGTTAGTCTCTATGTTACCTGAGAAAAAAAGATAAATGATTAAATATAAACAGTTTGTTATCTAAAATCTCACTAATAACAGAGAAACAACTGTAACATTGTCAATAAGCAGCTGATTGTACAGACCCTTAAGAGCAACTCCATTGCGGCGAATGGCCATAATGGCATTTTTTATGTCGTCCTCACTGGTTAATGAAGAATTTACATTCACCACCTCAAAGTCCACAGGAACACAGCTGAATCTGTGATTCAACATGAAAATCTTAGTGTGGTAACACATTATTACTTGACACTAATTATATATTGTTTTAAAGTATTGATTTGACAAACCTGAAGAGTTCCCGCACATGGCCAAGCAGCTCAGGTCCTATTCCATCTCCAGGAATCAATGTTACAGTATGCCGGCCTCCATACTTGGCAGGAGGAGGCTGCAAACAAACATTATGAATTAACATTCAGTGGCTATATTACATGTGCATGTTAATCATGTAAATAACTTGGGTATTTGGCTTCATTCTTTCTATGTTTACTTTTGTCACTCCATACTTACTATGATTTGTCCCTTCAAGACAGAGGAGGACCGGAGGTGAATAAGAATAAACAAAAAATCCACAGTTAGTGAGAGAATTAGGAACCACCATTCATTATTATCTTATGACTTATGTTGAAGACATGTTTTTGTTTCACTCAATAGTACCATAAAGAACACTTTTCTGTCAAATAATGAATAACCAATCATATCTGATATAGATAGATCTCAACTTATATTGAAACAAGTGTTGCTCAGTTTCAAAAAACTAAAAATAACACTTGTTAACAGGAAACATTATTAGCCCTAGATTACTGTGTTGTACTCAAGACATTAAGCTAAAAATTTCTTTAGTACAACCCAATGCCATGTATATAGACAGGCATTATTAGCTGCCTGCCTGCCATGTAAAGACAACAACCCACTGTGTATGTAGGTTTTCCTCTTTGATTGCTGACTGCTGCGCCAAAGACCTACAAAAACAAACCGATTAAGCATTACAATATGTAATAGCACCCCTCACGTCATGCTAGTGTTTCAAAGCCTTGTAAGCTGCAGACATATAGAACATCATTTGGTTACTATAATGCAAAAAAAAAAAAAAAAAAACAGCAGGTCATTACGTTTTAAGACACTGCCAAATCACTGAACTAATGCCGTCAGTTTAATTTTAAATATGAATGAACAAATTTGTGAATTGAGTGAGCTAAAATACATGTATAATACGGACTAATACATAATCTGACATTTAGCAAGCTAACTCTGACCTTGTCTTAATAACATGTCACGCTAATAGGAAGGGTTGAGAAATCATTTCTGAATATTACTTGTATGTATACGGTTTCTCTGGTCATAATATGTAAATAAAATGTCTTGCCTTTGGTGCATTTCCCAATTGCCTTCCCAAGATTGGTTTTAAAGCTTTAGTAAGAGTGGCCATGATCATGACAGTAGGATGCGCATGAGTATGCGTGTGTGTGTGTGTGTGTGTTAACCTACTTTCCGGATTAAACACAGACCTGTGGAGAATAGTTCCGACTGCGTTTTTTAAAAATCTTTAAAAGGATATTAACGTTAGTTACTTTGGCACTGGCAAATTTACACTCATACAGATTTGTTATTGTACATTTAAATATGTCGTTCTGCTGTAATATCACAAACCTACATATTTAAAGAATGATTACTCTCTATCTATATAAATTACACAATTTTGCATGGGTCAAATGTAATTTGGATTTAATTTAAATAAACACTAGGAAGTGGAGCATAGATTATATTTGCATAATGGGTTGGCAAAAGAACCACGTGTTCATCATTTTGGAACCGAACCGGAAGACTGTCATCGGGATTGGTGTTTTGGCAACAAATGTAACGTTATGCTTCTAGAGGTCGACGAACAAGGAAAACTTGTTAATACGTAGCTAATTGTGTGTTTGTTGACGTTGTGTTTTCGTTTATTTGCTGCCGACTAATCCAGTCGTCACTGGTTTTTAAGATGAACGTGTTTAGGACGCGAGTAAATTAGTCGTGACAGTTTCACAACCCAAGAGAGTAGCTGCAGCAAACCTGTAGCTACAGGTCAGGTTCACTCCACGTTTTGAAAGGTAACGTTATTTTTATTATTATTAGTGTGTTTTGGTTCAATTTGTGTGCTCCGGTTTAAAAATGAGTTTGTTTATTTAACTTGCATCAACAGATTTGGCGTATGAAGCTTTGCCTAGGTTTCAATTCCAGGGAGGTTTGCTTCCCAAAAGACTAATAATGTCATAGAAGTGGGCTAAAACTGTAATTAAAACACATTTTAGCCATTAAATACCCAGCTAGATGTATTGAAATCAAAATAGGAAGTAGACTTAGGGGTCAAACTATCTTATAAGTAAGCGTTAACAGCTAAATGTCCTTAATGACAAGTTACTGAATCCTGTTGTTTGGAATGTAAGAAGCGTTTAATCTGAAAACTTACACGATGCGTATTTTTTTCATTAATGCTGTCTTTCTTGCTCCAAACAGAATATTAAAAGTGACCATTTGCTGACAAGATTTTTGACATCTGTCCACCATGAGGTTTACAGGTCTGTGCATTTTATCACGTATCACGAACTAGACAAGTTCCTTGTCACAATGAAATTAAAGTACTATTTCCTTCCTTTGTATTCCCCAGTGGCCATGCGTGCTGTTGCCTTGATACTTCTTTTGGGGTTCACATGGCTTCTAGCAAATTCAATGCTAGGAGGGGATGGGAACTCCTTGATAAAGACACTCTTTAGTGGTAAGGCTATTTTATATGATGTAGGTTTTTCCATAGCCAATGCTGTTATCTTGGAAAGCATATAACATGTAGTTCTATTAATAGCTTTAAAGGAGTGGTTGAGTGCGACTTCACTTTTTTCATTTTTAATAGGGTTTAATGTTGATGTTGGTGCATGAACATATGCAAAGTTGCAGCACTGAAAGTTCTGTTTAAGCAGAGATAGCGTCTTTTAAAAAACAGGCCTACAAAAACAACTCGAATGGGACAACAGCGGGTTTTATATGCAACTAACCCATACATTTACATAAACCCTCTCTCCAGAATATGCAAAAAAGGGCATGGCCATATTTCTGCGGCTCGTCGAAAGTGTGTTATTTTCACCCAGCTGTCAGGTCTTAATGTGTTCGGGCTTCCCACGGACTTTGTAGTTCATCAAAGATTGTAGTTTTTAAATGTGCTTTAGAAAAAAAAATTATAAAGTGCACCAAAAGTTATTTTGAGTTTGCATGCTTTGCCTGTGATTGGTGTGTTATTTTAAATGTGTCTGAGTTTTGTTACGGTGCTGTGCAAAATCATCAGTTATTTCCGCCACTTGATCATGCCACTTTTCTTACAAGTTGTGATGGTCTTTTCTTCCCTATTGTGATGTATATCTTAGTAAAACAGCTTTTCAAACGAGAGAAAATGTTGATTTTGTCCCTCAGGAAAGGAGTCCCTGTGGTTTGCTATTACTGTTATCTCATGTTTCAGGTTGTCTTGTCCCACCCAGTGAACATGTCATCAGAGAAGAGATGTATTATTTAGATTTTTATTTTTTTATTGTGTGTGTGAATGTGATATATGCCTGTATTATGTACCATTTGTTTGATCTTATATGACTTGTTAGGCTTACTTTGATTATATATATATCATTCATAGGTGGACAAGAAGAAGCCACTCCAGGTAAAAATGACTTAAAGTACATCTACTTTGACATTTTCAGAAGAAACATTTAAGCAATCTGAACATTCAATGCAATAACCTTCTCCCCTGCAGAACCACGACCACGCAAGTACAAATGTGGCCTGTCGGCACCGTGCCCCCCCAAACATCTCGCGTTCCGGCTGACTTCTGGCGCTGCCAATGTCATCGGCCCCAAAATGTGTCTGGAGGATAAAATGCAAGTTGACTGACATTTTTAAATGCTGCGGCATCACTGTCGGTCTCTTTAAAGAGCTTGCATGGGCACCGCTGCACACTAAGCTTCGCATGCAACCTCCCTCCCTTTTTCTTGTTCTGTCTCCACTGGTATTCATTATATCGTCTTTGTTTTTCTCATGGCCATCACTACCAGAATCATAATCTTATTGGGGAACGTGATGCAAGTAGGCATTGGTTTCTCTTTCCGTGCCTGTGTTTTTGCTCATATTCATATTCCATTTTCTGGTCCTCCCTTAACTTCTACCATAGAATTAAGTGTCTATTTAGAATAAAATTTACAATAGCTGTTTACCAATGTTGTTTGACTTCTACTTGTTTGATCTTACAGTCTTGTCAGCAGTGCTAAAAACAATGTGGGCAGAGGTCTCAATATTGCTTTAGTAAATGGTAAATAGCTCAAATTCTTTTATACTGTTATGCTTGAATGTACAACATATTCACTTAAACAAGTACTAATTAATAGGAATATTTCCATTTTCAGGGGTCAGTGGAGAGGTTTTGGAGATAAAAGCATTTGATATGTGGGCAGGAGGTAAGTTGACCTTTAGGGTGATATATTATTTGGCTAGTTTGCCGTTTTCTCATGGATGTGGTCCATCATCTCCTAATATGAGTGTTTTCTCTCTTTCCGCCACAGAGGTTGCAGAGCTGCTGAAGTTTCTTCGGCCTCTCCATGAAGGAACGCTAGTATTTGTTGCTTCTTTTGATGACCCTGCCACCAAGTAAGAGTCTTATTAATTTGTGCACTCCTCTTTCAAACCCAGATTACTGTTGTTCTGTGACTTAATCTCTCTTGCATATCAGGGTTCTTTTCTTTCAGTGTTTCTTGTTGGATTTTAAACCAGAGTGTTTAACCCATTCACAGGTTAAACGATGAGGCCCGGCGGCTGTTCGAGGAGCTGGGGAGCACGGCAGCGAAGGAACTGAGCTTCAGGGACAGCTGGGTGTTTGTTGGAGCCAAAGGAATAGAGAATAAGAGTCCATTTGAACAGGTAGGACTTATGGAAAGAAATATGCATTATTGTCACTATAAAGAAACCAATGAGGAGATCGACAAAAGACAAGAGTCTGCAAATTAAGCCATGCTATAATCTAATACTCGGGAAACACTCAATCTGAGAAAAGATGTTAAATAGACGTTTAGAAAATGTCTTTAAGATGTTTATGATTTAGAATGTATGTAAAACTACTTTTTCTAAAATGTTTATCAGATTAAGCGATCTTTAGCAGACATCTTAGAGACGTAACTGTGCTATCTGGGTATATACAATGTATGTAGATGCTTTAAAGCAAGCAGCTTTACAGTATTCAATATAAAGAAAACAGTGTCATGCAGTCATGGTTTGGAATATGAACTTTCTGTTGTGAAATACTTTAAAAAACGCTATAATGTGAACCTTTAAAGGGGTCATCGGATGCAAAATTCACTTTTATATGGTGTTTGCATTAATGTGTCTTTGTAGTGTGTGGACACAACCACCATACAATGAAAAAAAATCCACCTCTTTTTTTTATATTTCTCATTCTAAACACTCTCAATAATCGGCCGAGCACTATGTTATAATGCTCATCCTCCACCCAATGACAGACTGTTCCGTATTCGCATATTTCTGCCCTCAGTCATTTGACACTCCTCATGGAAGAGAGGGGTGGGGTGAGCAGTTGCTCATTATCATTTAAAAAAGACATGCACTGAAAGCTGTTTTTGAGGAGGTAAAATGGGTGTTTTACACAAGCATTGAGGAATTTTAACCAAAGTATAGAACAAATTTTATACTGTATGAACACTAAAGAATCATACCTAATTGTGGAAAATGGGCATCCGATGACCCCTTTAAAGCAGGATCCAAGAATATATCCAATATATAATGTATATGCATATACCAGATTCTTGCTGATACACAGCCCTAATTTATGTGTTATATTACACCAGTTATATCACCGTATACCTCTTAGTAAACATATGAACACCATTTCCTGTTCCCTACATACAAAAACATGTTTTTCAATAGAATAAAAAACATGGTGCCATGGACAATATGGAGGTATTATATAGGTTATATATAATGGTCTAAGGTTAGATCTAATATAGGTCTAAGATTATTAGAGGTGATATTTTCTAAATATATATTTACTATCTATATGTATTTTTTTATATGTAAGTAATTGATGCTTATGCTTTGCCTTAGTATCAGAAAAGCTATTGATTCTCCTGTGCATTTGGATAAAATAGTTAAAATAATTCAAGCTATCCAAAAACAACCAGGACAGAAACCTACGTGTAGTGTTTGATGATAACTACCCAAATTTAAATGACCACCCAAGATCTAGTTTGAACTTTCTAACATCAGGAAAATCAGAGCCTTCATGCGGTGGACCATTACGACCTTCATGAAAAACACCAAAATGCTCCTTTTTCTGCAACCTAAACCACAATTAAACATTTGCTAAAAACAAATAGTTTAAAATATCCTTTTCTTGTCTCTTTACTCTAATTTTCTGAAATGTTTACTTCCTCACAAGCAAAGTCTCAAATTTAC